TAAAAAAAAAAAAAAAAAAAAAAAAAAACAACAACAACAACATTCACCAATATCTAACCACAAATATTCTATTAAGTAACCCACTATTTAGTTTTTTCAACCAATGATGGAAGGTTGAATTACAAACAAAGTGTAATATGATTATTTTTTTTAACGTATCTATTTAACTTGTCAAATCATTTTAAGTATAAAATCGAATAAGATTAAGAAATTTATCAACAAATGTAGTATACATACATTTATTTCAAAATAATAAAAATATTAATTGTAGATTAAGTGTTACTAGTATTCATCCTGTGCACATGCACAAAGAAAAATAAAAAATTTATATATTATATGTATGTATACAATATATAAAATTATATTAGATAATTGATGTATTACATTTTACATTTTGACTATATGCAAATGTGTAATGCGAATATAAATTATTTAACTTATGTATGAATCTTTATATTGATGTCATAAATTTTAATGGATAATATAATTTAGTAATTTACGGACCATACAATTAATTAGTTAGAAAAATATAATAATTATTTTTATCATTGCTATAACAATTGTTTATGTGATTTTAAGGTGTTTAATTATGACACTCATGCCAATTAACTAATATTAGATAAAAATCGCTTAAAAAGACAAAAATATTTCATTTATTTAGAGAAAGTATTCTAAACAAAAAAAAAAAAAAAAATTGTTATACAATTTTTTTATAAGTATGTAACTTCCACATACTATTTAATGTAAAATTGTAATCAATTGGTGTTAGTAGTGAATAAATTAGTTTAAAATTATTACTACACTTTACTAATGTAAAATGTAACAGTTCTACATTAATTGAAAAAAATAAGCGGGAAAATAAAATGTAACGGTTCTACATTAATTGAAAAAAATGGGCGGGAAAATTAATAGAGGTTTTATTAATTAGGTTTTATTAAATGTTGTATGCCAGCAATTATATATATATAGATTAAATTTATAATTAAGTTAAATTTAATAATTGTTACTATATGATATTAAAAGTTGATATACAATATATGAACAACACACATTTAATGTTATAATTCGCACTTTAATTTCATTTATTCGGTTCAATACAACAAGAGATTGTTTGGTTCGGTCATTGGTACAGATATTTGTTAAATCTCCAGAATTGTAACAATTATTTTTCTTATTTGGTGGGGTTATGAGAAAGTCAAACAATCAACGATTATTTTTCGATTTAGAGTGATTTCAATTCAATTTTTCGTAATCTCTAGTTACAACTAAGGAGGTGTATTTATTTGGAATTTTGTTTTAAACTTAAAAAAAAAAAATCAAAAAGTTTTAAGATTTGCTAATCTTAGTGAAATCTTTAGAAACCATAAGTTTAAAGGTGTAAGTGATATTTGACATATGTAGTTTGTGTTTAAAATTTCAGAAAATTTTATAAAATCTATTATATATCTTAATATATAAAAAGATGGTAAAAGCCCCTTTGTTCGACACGTGGCGCAAGGATTTTAAGGGGTTGCCTCTTTTTACTTCGAAACGACGTCGTTTTCTTCCATGTCTTACACGATGTCGTTTCCCGTGTTGTGAGTTATTTTTTCGCTGCCTATTCGATACTTACAAATCGATTTTTTTCCTGCGAGAGCAATTTAGGGTTCCCGTCACATTCCTCGATCATTACCTTCAACTTTTTTTTCCCAACTACAGTGTGAAGATTAAACGATTATTCTCGTGGTTGTGTGCTTGCAAGCGCAAGGTCTATCTTTGTTTTATTCCAACGAAGGTTTATTTCGTTCGTGTTTTTGGAGTGTGTTACGTAGATTGGGGGTAAATAATTCCAAATTTTCTTTCGGATCTTGTGTTCTTCTATTATTTTAGGGTTTGAATTAGTTGAAATGTGTGTATTTTAGGTTGTTTGGCTTATAAATTAACCTAGAAGGTTTGATCTCTTTTCTCTTCTCGGTTTCGCAGGTGGGACAGCTTGAATCATGGAGATACAAAACAGGGAAGCTCCTTTTTTAATTATTTATTTTACCTTGATTGTTTGGTTAATTGCTTTTTGTTTTCTTTGGAATGCTTTTCTCTGCCTTGTTCACTATTTTGTATTATTAGTGGTGTGTGTATATTATGTATGGGTAATTATTTTTTGTTTCTTAATTCAAGTGGGAAGATAGTTAATTGATGAAGATAAATTGTTTGTGGTATTGTGTTCATATT